CTCGAGCCAGGACCAAAGCCAGGGCACACGACAAAGCAGAAAAATTACCGCAGAGTGTGTGTGGTGCTGCTCAGTAAAGTACACTACGCGAAAGAAGGCTCAAGAACTTACAAACCTTGTCTTTTCTTATTTTTTGAAGCAAGTTAAGCACTCACTTGCTTCATCTCGAAATGAGTCAAATTAGCTGTATTTATTAGGATTAGCTTATATATAAAAGTTTTGGTTTTTTAATTATAGCTTTAAATTGATAAGTTCCATATATTATAGTTTTTGAGGTGTTTTACAGCAATGTCATATGTTTCAGCTTCAAACTGAAATTGACAGCATGGGCCACCGATTGAAAAATGCCTTCAAAATGATAACATTTATTTCCCATTTTTGATCCCTTATCTTTTGTACAATCTTTTTCCGAGTGCTCTGTTTGTGTGAATATTTGCCAGTGGGTTAAACGTGTGCACATCGACGTCCGCATCAAATGGCCAAGCGACGTTTAGCAGTCGATAAAGTCATTCGGTGCAGCACGTGAATGCCGGCTAAGTTATGCATGTGTGCGTGAGCGCATCTGTATGTTTGTGTGTGTGTGTGTTAGCCCTCTGCCGCTCGGCCCCTCATTTTAAGCTTTTGTGATAAAGTAATCAGCTGACGCCGTCGGCCAAAGTCCAGAGTCCAGAGTGCGATAGCCATCGATGGATGTCAACTGGGGCCACGACACTGACCGTCGGTAACCGCAAAATGTTTATTGATTATTTACGACACACACACACACACAGACGTGCACATACACAGAGATGTGAAATGCATTTTATGTGGTTAAATATTGACGAAAATTGTATGGAAACTTTTAGATTTTATTTACACAACAAAATGTAAGCATAAAAAATATGTAAAATAAATCAAACCGAAAGCAGTCATGCCGAATTGGCCAGAACAAAACCGAATGTAGCCAAATAGCAAATCAAAATAGTTCGGCCAAAACAAATAGGAACATCAAACGATTGGTTCGGGCTGTTGGCCAGGCCCCGAAAAGCCTCTCTCTGGACAAACGCGGCGTCTAGACGGTATTGCATTTCGGCCATGGCCAATAAAGCAAATGCGAACATTCGTCCTACACTAAAAATTAACAACGCCGACGACACGTTTTGGCCAAAAGGGAGGAAAAAATGTTGGAAAAATGGGAAAAGTGAGAAAAAGCAAAAGGCATAAACCAAAAGACAGACAACTGACAGACGGCCAAATGGAATAAGAAATGACAGTGAAAATAATAAAAGTCCCGAATGAAAGAACACGGTCGAAAAAGGATGAAACGGGAAACGGTGCGGCTATGAATGAAAATCGGAAAATGCTAAGCAAACAGACACACACACACACAGAAAAAGGGCATAACTCCAAGTGGATTTGCCTGGGTGTCTGTGTGTGAACAGGTTGTGCACTGAAATAAAAACGCAACAATGCGCAATCATCATTATCGTTAAAAGAGGCGCTTACAGAACTAGACAAATTGCCACTTTAGAGAGCTGGACCAGGCCAAAAGCCAAAAGGCTCAAAGTGGCAACAGAAATAGCAACAGCAACAGCAACAGCGAAAACAACAGCAACATCAGCAACACTTGCAGATGCCACAACAGCAACATCAAGAGCAACAAGAGCGGAAGTTGGCGGCCACAACGTGCCGAGCGGACCAAGGAAGCGTCTATAATGACCTCTGGGCAAATGGGCCAACACGCACACGCACACTCACACTCGCTCGCACACAAGCACACAAGCACACACTCAGCAACACACAGCGACCCCGCATAAAACCAAAATGGCGCACATTAGAGACCCTCGGCGCACAGAAGTATGCTACGCTTGGCCATTTCAGGCTATGCTGGCTAACCGAAAACGACCAAAGAGCAAAAGAGCAACAAGCCAGCTCGCAAAAACACACAGAAAATAGAAAATAGAAACACGAACAAAAAAAATAACACTCATAATCAACTGCCGCCGAGTGAACAATGAATGGAATCAAACAAACCCAAATAGCAGCCGAGTTCAGCAGCACCATCAACATCAACGGCAGCAAGTTCAAGGTTCAGCGTCTCATTGCTGGCTTTTGTTTAGTCGTCGGCAGAGCTAAGGCCAGCACTTTTTTCCATTTCGCCTTTTTGGCCTTAATTATAGACACGCACACGAGCACACTCAGTCGCAAACATGAAGCTAACAATTATGCTGGCTTCTGCAGAGCAGCAACAGTCAAGCGCAGCAGAAACATGAGCCTCGAATTCGTCGTAATCCACAGAAAGAAATCAAACGCTTTCATTCAATGGGTGCTATTGATGATTATGAAATAATACCCTCTGTAATAGGTGTAAATACCTAATGTTATTTATTCATTATTTCGGGGCAAAACAATAAAATCTAAAATCAATAAAATCTTTCCAATAAAATCTAACAAGTATCTTTTAGGCTTATAGGGCTTAAGCAATATAAGTAATTGTAGGGCATTCAAGACGGCAAATTGTTGCAAAATTTATAGACAAGTGCCTAATAAACTGTTTTCAATAATTAGCAGTCAAGAAATAATACTGATTAAGAGGAACATATATGCATCAGTCTACAAGAAATCCTGATAAAGGACTATTTTAAAAAGCAATCTATGCAGTCCTATTTCTGCGACTTTATATCACGAACATTTGTTTATAGGTATGGAAAATGCCCTATCTTCATATAAACACATTTTTTCGTACTGTAAGAGTGCCTGGCAATTCGCAGGCATCTAAATGCTTTCCAAGAGCCCTCATTAATAAGAGGGTCAGATCCCTACCCCTTCAACCCATTTTCACCCTTCTTGAGGGCTCTGATTGCTGCTGCTGCTGTTCATGCAATGGCGACGGCAATTATTGTTACAATTAAAAAACCATTAGGCGTAATTTGGTTACTTTGTGTGGCTCCTTTTTCTCGGCCATGTTTTCAGAGTACAAGTATTTGTTTGATTGGGCCACACGACACTTCCGCTGGAAGGGCGGCGGAGCACGGAAAACGCAATGAAAACATTAATTTGCCGCCTAAGAATCAATAAGAATAAAAGTGCGCAAGTAAAGCCAGGAATAACTAATCCCCTGGCTTAGGTATTTACCTCCCATTTCAAAAATTCATGGTAATAACGCAGAAATTGCTTAATTCCATTTAATAAGCTGAAAATGTCTCTTTCCATCCGGCAACTGAATGTGTACACACGGTGTGTGTAATTTACTGGCTTTCCTGGGAGAACGTAACCAACTTTGAAGTTAACTATTTATGAAATTGAACTTTGGCTGCCATTAGCGCATAATTTCCCCATTCCCTTGCTCAAAGGGAAGTTCGGAGCTATTTCTCAAAACGTTTTCCCTCTTTTATTTTCCTTTTTCGATTTTTCTTTTGGTTCTGGTTTATTTATCTTTTTTTTTTTATTGTAACACACATGCAACATGCCACACAGGGCAAAATGGCCGCAAAGTGATGGGCCTAGTCTGCCATTGATTGGCAGCTGTCTCACGTAACCCCCAACTCCCCGATCCCTCGATCCCCTAATCCAGAAGACCATGCCCCCTTTCATGCCACCAGCTGAGTGTCAAAGGCGCTTAAACGCTTTGAACCCGCCGCCTGCCCCGCCCTCACTTCCCTGTCCCTTCCTTACCCAACGAGCCATTTCTTTTTGGCCAGGTTCTTTGGCCACTTTTTTCGGCACTGGCCAATCTTCTCAGGCTCCATTGTGCGCCGCGAAAAGAGCCGAAACGCTTTTTGTGCCCCTGCATTTAATACCCTAACTGACTGCGGCGGGAATTCCATCGCGTTTTTCAACCCTTTGAAAAATAATTACGCCTTTGTCTTAAGCGAGGAATTTCAAGAATAGTTTTGATATAGTGACATTCTTTCAAAATGCGGCAGAGGCATTTGTTAATTATATGCAACTTCGATATGAATAAAAAAACAATGCGGCTTGTTTAATTGAGAGACTCATTCTTTCTGTAAGCCATTTTAACGGCCTCCTACCGAATACTTCGTATATTATCTGTAAATATAAGCCTAATAATATTTATATTCAATAAAAGCCACATTAAATTACTTATATCCCATAAGTTACTTAATCTGTTGTATTAATGTATTAAATATATGAATTCAAAAAGAATAAAAAGGAACTGCTGGTAGTAGATTACACTTTTCCTGACCAGACTAGATCTTGAAGTACTATGCTAAGGTGCCAAAAAGTTAGGGCATCCAGCTCGCGACTTCGCCGCATTTCTTCTTGACCCCGTGGTGCAGTGCTGCGCTCATAATCACCAAAAAACAGACGGAGGGTCGGAGTGCTTTTGAAGTTCTTTCTGCTCGCATTGTTGTTGGGCTCTTGGGCGGCCAAGGGGGGTATGCAGAGGTGGGGCGAAGGGGGGTTTTGGTGGGGGGTGGCGGGGCAAGGGCATGCGGAACAACCTCGACATGCGATGCAATCGCCAGCACTTTTTGAACCAGCTTTTGTGTCTTGGTGGCGTTTTTCTCTTCTTTTTTTTGCTGGTAGCCGCTACTCGCAAATGGCAAATCGCGAATCGCTTGCTGCAAGTTGCGACCAGGTGGCTACTGTTACGGCCAAGATATTGCACACTTTGCTCGAACGCAAACAGAAAAAACAGGCGAGAGAATGCCGCTTAGAGCTGTTCTAAGTGGCAATAACAATTTGGCCGTTTGCATTCGCAATTTATGTGCTGAATGGGCCAACTTGGCTGGCTGCACAAATGCAAATGGCAAACTGATGGCCAAAAATAACTCCTTTGTCTGCCACACGCTGCACTCCGCACTCTTTTCTGCGGTTCAGTTGTGCAGCTTGGAGCCACGAAAGAGAACGGGTTGCAAACAAGTTGGGATCAACTGGTCAGCGCGGGTAATGCAAAGTGAAACACGCTTGGCAGGTAGCGCTCAGGTGGGATTCTGATTGGATTCGGATTGGAGAGCGTTGCACAGTCGTTTGGGGATCGAGATTTGTATATTCACCTCACTGCTGTCGAGTTTCGTTGCACACTTGTCACTGAAACCTCTGTTTTTGAGCTAATTCGCTTTTATTCTTCTTGTTTGTTTCTTCGCACTGCTTGCAATTCGCACGAGTTTTCAACTGGGTTTTTAACGGCGCTTTTCCGCTTTTGCACTCTTCCACTTTCCCGCTCAACCTCCGCACACCATGACCGTTCGAGTCGCGATTTCAAGACAAACTGAACAATCCGTCGCTGTTGCTTCGCCGCCGCCGAAGTCGGCGGGTCTTCGGCGTTCTGTGCTCGGCTTCGCTCTCATTCGTTTGGCAGTCGCTGAAGTTCGGCGAAAACGAGTTTCAGGCTGGCAATGCCGAGTCAACTGTTACTGGGAACACTACTGAGCTCCTACCGGCATTTTTAACAGTTTGTTTTGCTGTTGAGCCTACAGACTTCACAGTGGGAACGGTCTAATTAATGTTAAAATTGTCTAAAAAATAGTAAGGTAAAGAATTGTAAAAAAAAGAGTTTAATTCTTTATCATATTATATTTTTCTTTATGTCAAATTGTATTTTAAATGTACTACTATTTCATACCTAAGCTTATTCGTCTAAGAATGATGCATTTCACCTTTTTAAAAATCGTGCCCCATTTTTTGCACAGAAAACATGGAGTTTAAAAATTTTAGTTTGTTTCTAGCTTCTTTTGAAGAAGTATTTATTTGATTTAGCTCCACTACGATCGGGGCTTAAAACGTAGTTCAGGTATAGGAACCATTTGGACTTGAAATCCTAATGCAAATCCACAAGGAAAAATGACAACTGCCGCACAATCTCAATTAGTTCATGATAGTAATTGATGTGGTGAGCTGCAAGAGTCATTTCTGCAACACCTTCTTTGGCGATTATAGAACTTTCACTTAATTGCCATAAATTGGAAGTGCCAATACGTGTTGCATTAAACTTTCAGATCCATTCGGTGAGCGGCCAATCAAGTGATTGGCCACAGATTGTGCGGCGGCGGGAGGGGGTGGTAAAATCAGTTGGAATTAGGGCATGTGGAATAATTTATGCTCGAATTAATAATGGCACGTAGCCAATCATTTGAATGCGATTTAATTAATTTCCCAGGCAGACATTCACCTGAAACAGGGCTCCATTCCGTAATGACAGGACTTAAGCCACTCGTTGGCCGAGATGGATATGCACTACTTACGCCCGCTTGTATATCAATAAAATCAAATAAATATATCGTTTGAGGCCAGGGCCATCCACCTGAGATCCGCACGCATATAAATAACCAATGATGCGGCATTTATCTGCCCGCTACTCCCACTCCTCGTATCCCACTGCTGGCCATCAGTCTCGGCTTACGTTCCATTTAAAATGGTTTTCGGTCCGTCCTGGGGCCATTGAAACTAAAGACGAAGAAATTGTTCTTTCAGTGCACAGGGAAAAATCGGGGTCGCTGCAAAATATTTATACATTTTGAATAGAATAACTTACTCTCACTTGGCTCAATAGTTTTCTTCAACTTCCCCTTTCGGCCTAATCGATAAGCTCCCTGAAGAATAGGGATTTCCACAGATTTCTCACAGTGCCTCTCCGCCATTGTTCCGAGGGAGCTGGCAGGACTCCGCCAGAGCCAAACTTGGGGCTAAAAGGGATAAACGTTTTTAGCATGGCCTGCACGATTTTTATGCAAGGAACGTGTTGTTGCTGCCCCAGCCCCTTTTGGCTCAGAGGCTCTTGGCCATGTCCGTGCGACTGTTTCGCGTCATTTGCTCTCTGCTGGATCGTAATTTTATGGCTGCCAGCAGCTTCTTGGGTCTCCAATTGCCGGGCCGGGCATAGCAGGCAGTCAAAGCAAACGGAAGTAAACTGAAGCCAAAAATTCTCGTTTTTATTTGACGAAGCGTTCAGTTCCCAGAGCATTCCTCCAGAAGTTGTCAAAACAAAGCGAGCGAAACTAACAATAAGTGAGTGGAGAGGCGGGCATCTGGCTGGGAAAGATGGAGGATGGAGTTGGCTCGGCACAAGGTGGGCCAACAATGGGCCAACTGCATCACCTGGCATCGGACCAAACGGCAGGCGGAGCCGAGAATATCGCTTACCAACTCGTTTGGCAATTGTTCTCAATTTTCACATTGAAAACTAAGCGCCAGCGCTGCGAAAGAGCCGCCCCTCAATAGTATCATCCATCCCTAGGCAACCCCTTTAAAAGCCACCACTTTTCGACTTCATATTTGGGCTTCCAATTTGAGTGGTGGCCGGGGGGAGGGGAAGTGGGCTGGCATTAGGGGGTGGGTGGACCCGAAGGGAGGTGTCAGCGGCACAAAGCCAACTGGATTTCCGCAGGCCAACTCGGGTTCGCTGCAAAAATGGCTTATAGATCTGCTGCAAAACACTAAGTACTAGTTTTGTGTGAATTAAACTAATAAATTTAAGTTTCACATTACTGAAGCATTTCATATTGAAATTTTGATTTTCCCAAGCACAAAGTAATTTTTCCACTTTTTGCCTTGAGTTCCTAATGGTTTCTTCGAGTGCATTCTAGCATCCACCTACGACTTGGCGCTGCTGGCCATGTGGCTGCTACACGATTGCTCTTTGGTGATTTGGATTCCCCGCTCACACACATGCACACACACGCCCAAACAAAGCACAAATTGTTGTATGTAATTGTGCGTTGGCACACACGCACACACACATACGCGCTCGCATTAACACAACAACAAGTGGAGCAGCCACACGAGCTCACCTGCCGCTGCGTGCGCCGAATTCCATTGCATACTTGGCGGCGCCTGCTCGAGCATTCCTTCCCCTGCCACGCCCACCGCTGCAGGGGTACCTTTCGCCCCCGGCCCCCCCACACCCCGAAGACTACGAGCCTGTGCAAATAAAAAGTGATATACGCGCGACACTGAATGAATATTAATCGCTTTCTTTTTGCAGCTCCCATTCAGTTGGCTCCCTGGCCCTTTGTTTGGACCATCTGGCCGGCTGATTTGGCAGCTTAAATGATTTCCGCTTCGACTCGACTGCGTGCGGAATTCACGGGAATTTATTAGTTAAGTCTAGCTGATTGTTCCTGGTCTGCCGCTTGGAATAACTCCGCTTCCCTTGATTTTCCGTCTGGGTTTCATTTCCTCTTCTTTTTTTTTGGAAATTCACACTGTTGTTTGCGTGCGGGCGTGGCTTTCACTTTTGCAAAGCAAAGCACTTAGTTGAAACAAGGAAAAATAAATATAAAATGCCTAGCCCCACTCATTAGGTACACTCAAGAAAATAAATGAATACCAAAGTATGGTTCATCAACGGAAATAAAATACTCTGTCACTTATAATAGTAATGCGTTACATGCTGCGCTAAGTTGTAGGGAATCCCCGTTTTTGGGAGTGCAAAAGCCCCTTGAGCCACAACTTGTCATAAGGGTTAACACCCTGCCTTTTTTTGGCCTCCCCTTGTACTTGGCACCTTTGAAGGGCTTCACTGTGCCCCTGAAAAAAAACCATCACAAATTTCGGGCATTCAATTTGGGCTCCCGGTGGATTCAAAGTTTGTTTGGCAATTCCTCCTGCCGAGCTGTTTTTTGTATTCTAATGAATTTTTCGCATTAAATTTCGCAACAATGAATCGCTTTGTGTCGAGGGGTTCGATGTCACCAAGGTGTTTGCATCGCTTGACACCTCGGCTGGTCGATTGTGGCACCCCCAGATAACCCCCCTCCCTGAGTTATCCCCCCTGAGTCTGTCAGGTGTTTCCGCAAACATGTTTGCATGTTTTGCCACACAGAATTTATAGTTAATTTTCAATTTTGTTCAACAAGCTGCACAGACACTAACGCTCACAGGCTCACATAGATTTGAATGAATGGATTCCATTTTGCCGGGACGCTAGGTGGCTGAAAGGGGGTTGGGATTGGGGCTGCGAAAGGGGCGGAGCCGGCACCCAGTGTCAAAGGCAAACTTTGCAGACAACAAAAGCCCAACGCAGCCTGGGAAGGAAGATGCAGGATCTGAGGACAAGAACACGACACAGGTGCGGAGGAGGGGAGAAATTCAAACTTTACGCTCTCCATTCTAATTGCCAGTGCTACACCCCTTTTTTTTAGGTGTCACGGACTACGCCCATGCGGCTTTTGATTCTCTGTGGTTGGTGCGTTTGCAAAAAAAAAGACAACTAGATAATACAAAAATAAAACTCAGACACACTCACAGCGAAACTAATCTGCTAGTGAGCCCCAGCATGGCACACTCACTGAGAAAAACAAATTTAATCAATAAACTCCAAAGTTTTAAATGTAGCGAAACTGGTTGGCAAGTCCACAAAAGCCCATTAAAATTCTTCGAAATCGTTTTATCAGTTTTTTTTGCGTTGTTCGTACATAACGTGTTATCAGCTGAATCAAATATATTCATTTTTTTATAAAATGTGTAAAGTACATTATTTATTAATTCCTCGAGAACGCGAGTATACAATTTTTGTATATATTTTTGAGCATGTTTGAGTATACAATATAATATGTTTGTATTTTCATTTCATTTAATGCTAACTAGCTTAAAAATTACCATTATTACTTATATATTCTCCAAAAAATTAAAGTTGGGATACCTAAATCACGCATTACTCTCATTAAATATACCAAAATAACAGTATCTATGGCTAGATTTTGCTTTATTAATAATGTGTATTAATAATAGACACATCTGCATGCTTCAAGCATTTAAAATATTCTTTTTAAAGTTCGTAAATTATGGTCTATAACTTATTTTCCCCTGTGCATTCGGCTCCCTGTGCTCCAGTGTATACATAGAAAAGCAATTTGTTTGCGGCTCTCACTATTGTTGCATGATTATTGTTTGTTTGGATGCGTCTGTTCCCCAACCGAATCGCGACTCGAGTCGCCTCCCCGAATTTCCGCCCATTTCCCGCCAGTTTTCCCCACCATCTTTGTCACACTTTTTTCCAGCAGCCGCACTGTGTGTGTGAGTCTGTCCTTGCGGTGTATTTAACCTGTCTGCTTGTTGGATTACGACAACCAGTCCACAGACAGGCGGAGATGGGGCTTGTGGGTTGGCAAACAGAACAAAACGGGCAACAAAACATGTATCTATTCATACGCCACTTTGTGCCAAAGGGGGTGCCACCAAAGGGGTGGGCAACGGGGTGTTGGCTGGCTGGGGGCAGGACGGGTAATGCAATACGCATGCAACGATACCACAAAAGCCCCAGAAGAGACCCAGAACCCATAACCCAGAACCGAACCCACACCCCCGGCCAGACTT